CCATTACACCATCCACCACTTTTCCATCACTGTCCACTATTTCACTACATGGTGTACTAATTTTTATCTATCTATCTATCTATCTATCTATCTATCTATCTATCTATCTATCTATCTATCTATCTCTGATAGCCTCTCACGCACATAGGCATAAACTTTCGTCGCGAAAATGAGATTCGAGCCATTGTCCATTACACCATCCACCACTCTTTTCCATCACTGTCCACTATTTCACTACATGGTGAAACTAATTTTAGCATCGTATCTATTCATCTATCTATCTATCTATCTATCTATCTATCTATCTATCTCTGATAGCCTCTCTCACATAGGCATAAGCACCGTCGCGAAATGAGATTCCGTGCCATTGTCCATTACACCATCCACCACTCTTTTCCATCACTGTCCACTATTTCACTACATCTAAAATACAGTTTTTAGCATCGTATCTATCTATCTATCTATCTATCTATCTATCTATCTATCTATCTATCTATCTATCTATCTATCTCTGATAGCCTCTCACGCCTATAGGCATAAGCACCGAATTATGAAATGAGATTCTATCTATGCTATCTAACTGTCCATTGTCATCCACCATTCTTTTCCATCACTGTCCACTATTTCACTACATGGTGTACTAATTTTAGCATCGTATCTATCTATCTATCTATCTATCTATCTATCTATCTATCTATCTATCTATCTATCTATCTCTGATAGCCTCTCACATTACATAGGCATAATCACCGTCTTGAAATGAGATTCCCGTGCCATTGTCCATTACACCATCCACCACTTTTTTTCCATCACTGTCCACTATTTCACTACATGGTGTACTAATTTTAGCATCGTATCTATCTATCTATCTATCTATCTATCTATCTATCTATCTATCTCTGATATCTCTGATCAGAAATAGAATATACAAACCTGAAGCACCGTCGCGAAATGAGATTCGAGCCATTGTCCATTACACCATCCATCATCTTTTCCATCACTGTCCACTATTTCACTACATGGCATCTACTAATTTTAGCATCGTATCTATCTATCTCAAATATCTATCTATCTATCTATCTATCTATCTATCTATCTCTGATAGCCTCTCACGCACATAGGCATAAGCACCGTCGCGAAATCTATTCCCGTGCCATTGTCTATTACACCATCCACCACTCTTTTCCATCATTGTCCACTATTTCACTACATGGTCAAACATAATTTCAGCATCGTATCTATCTATCTATCTATCTATCTATCTATCTATCTATCTATCTATCTATCTATCTATGATAGCCTCTCACAAACATAGGTATAAGCACCGTCGCGAAATGAGATTCCGAGCCATTGTCCATTACACCATCCACCACTCTTTTCCATCACTGTCCACTTTTTTCACTACATGGTAAACTAATTTTAGCATCGTATCTATCTATCTATCTATCTATCTATCTATCTATCTATCTATCTATCTATCTATCTATCTCTGATAGCCTCTCACGCACATAGGCATAAGCACCGTCGCGAAATGAGATTCCGTGCCATTGTCCATTACACCATCCACCACTCTTTTCCATCACTGTCCACTATTTCACTACATGGTGTACTAATTTTAGCATCGTATCTATCTATCTATCTATCTATCTATCTATCTATCTATCTATCTATCTATCTCTGATAGCCTCTCACGCACATAGGCATAAGCACCGTCGCGAAATGAGATTCCTAGAGCCATTGTCCATTACACCATCCACTCTTTTCCATCACTGTCCACTATTTCACTTCACATGTTCTTTAATTTTAGCATCGTATCTATCTATCTATCTATCTATCTATCTATCTATCTATCTATCTATCTATCTCTGATATCTCACGCACATAGGCATAAGCACCGTAGTTTGAAATGAGATTCCGTGCCATTGTCCATTACATCATCCACCACTCTTTTCCATCACTGTCCACTATTTCACTACATGGTGTACTAATTTTATCATCGTATCTATCTATCTATCTATCTATCTATCTCTGATAGCCTCTCACGCACATAGGCATAAGCACCGTCGCGAAATGAGATTCCGAGCCATTGTCCATTACACCATCCACCACTCTTTTCCATCACTGTCCACTATTTCACTACATGGTGTACTAATTTTAGCATCGTATCTATCTATCTATCTATCTATCTATCTATCTATCTATCTATCTATCTATCTGATAGCCTCTCACGCACATAGGCATAAGCACCGTCATGAAATGAGATTTATTGCCATTGTCCATTACACCATCCACTACTCTTTTCCATCACTGTCCACTATTTCACTACATGGTGTACTAATTTTAGCATCGTATCTATCTATCTATCTATCTATCTATCTATCTATCTATCTATCTATCTATATCTATCTATCTGATAGCCTAAGCACATAGGCATATCCCGCGAATCCATTAGACCATAAAATTCTATTTCCCTCATATCTAATTTTATCGTATCTATCTA